AAGAGTGATGTATTTTCTTTTAAATTACAAATTAGACATTTGTACCCCATATCCAGTGACAAGGGCTTTGGCTCCTTTATTTGAAGTGCACCATTTATAGCTCACTGTAGAATTTAAATACTGGCTTCTCTATCATGCCTAATTCTGAAAGTTAAATTTATGCAATATTATATCATATAAACTAAACCATCCTGCCTCTCTGTTTTATTGTCATGGCAAGCTTGCTTGAACTGTTCCCTTTAGTAACAAATGGGTAGAGTGTGTTATCCCCTGGACATTTTAAGGCCTTTTTAGTGCAGGTTGGTTTCTATTTCACACACCACATATACTTCCTTTCAGAGAATTTCTTTAGAATTATAGTTTTGCTCTGACATTGATGCACGTTTACTTGGGAACTTGCTTTTAAATCATAGACTCATGGAATAAATGTGTATGTGTAATATATAGGGTTTGTGAGGTGCTTCTTTTGGAGATAATATTAGCAATGCAATAATTAGAAACTGTAAAAAAATGCAGTTCTTCAATAGGAAATAAAATGTCATTTGGTGTTTTCTTCTGTGAAAGAAATTTATGGAATTGTGTGAAAAGTTTGTTAGTAATCACAAACACCTAGATCAATTGTTAATAAAAAATTATTCCCAGAGAATTCTAAAGTCTTGTCTACTCTGCTTTAAGCAAGACTTGAGCTGTGAGATTCCTAGGTGTTGTCTTTGTCAGAGCATCTGAAACATGGGCTCTTTTATGAAGTAGCTAGCCTATAAAGCCAGCTGCTGACCACCCTATGATAACATCAGTATACTGAGTAATGCAAGAGTTGCTTTAATGAGTGATTTAACATGAAATATGTGACTTTGCTACTGATACAAATAGTAGAAAATACTACAGTTTTCTCTAAAAATACCACTGTTCTACTGTCTGTGACTTTTACTCCGTGTTCATGCTTTTAGAGATTGGCAAGATTTGAAACAGAGAGTGCCACAAGACATTGCAGGGGAAAATACAATATGAGAGCACTTTCATATTGATTTAAGCTAAGAAAATCATTACTTATGGATCCAAAAAGGATTTTTTTCCCTCCAAGATGTTTTCATTCTCACAACCACATTGGAGTTGCTTGTTGAACTTGAATACTTCATGATGGTCTTGTAGTTATTGAGAAGATTTTCCAGATAAATTCCCAAACTGTCATCTTGGCCAAATCTCAAAATTAAAGATAGAGTAGGTATCGTTGCTGGCATCTGTTTGACCATGTCATGACTTCTTGTTAGGATACCTCTAACATGTAATTCAACAAATTTGGATGCCTTATTTATCTCTAGCAATCCATATACTTTGATTTCTGTGTAGACTTGATCTTTTTATGTCACTTTTCTAAGCTGTATAAAAATAAACACTTCTGCTTCTGTTTTCTTCCTGATTACTTTCAGATATGTCTAAGTGAGGCTGTATTTAGAATTCTGTATGAACAAGACATGCAAATTTTGTTTGTATTCTTCTGCTTTTTTTGTGAGTTGTTCTTTAAGTGACAAGGAGAAAATAAAATTTTTCAACCAAGGGACTAATTGAGTAGATGAAAACAATTTTCAGATATGTGAGTCTGGCCTTAGAAGATGTGCTGGATGTTTTAATGCAGTTCTTCACAAATCACATGGCATGCTGTCTGAAATGTGTGAAGAGTTATCTGAGACAGAGGGAGGAAGGTACTGCAGAGCACTCTCGTTTGTTTCACAGAATTTCAGATACTATTCTTGAAAAAAAAAAATAAAATTTGAGAAACCTCTTTTCCTGTGTTTGCAAGAAACGTGAAGCAATGACAGAACAGTGCAAATTGCCATTGATTTCAGGGAGTTCAAGCCTCAACATCTGATGACAGTCAAATTATTTTATTCAACCCTTTTTCTATTTAGAAATTGATATAATAACAGAAAAGAATGTATCATAATATGAGAGTTTACATCTTCTCTCACTGATGTGTTTTCCTGAAGGTACAGTCACTCAGCTTTAACAATTTGCCCGTTGCGAGATGTGAAAGGAATAAAATTGTCCTTTGTATGAGACCAAATTTCACTGAGTTTATTTAGCCCAAGACAAGTGATAGCAATCAGAATGCATGAAAAGAGTGTGTTTGTATTAGTTCATTTAAAAATCAGTAGTGGCCATATTCAAACTGTCTATTGCAAGGGACTTTCCTTAGACATTGTGTTACCTAACTAGTGAAAGTGCAGTTAAGGTGTGACCTGGAATTTCTATACAGGCAACAAAGAGCCTACCAACACCATAAACAACTTAGGCTGCCCAAGTAAGGCTCTTGTTTCTCTCTTGTCAGAGAGTTTATGTGCTTCCTTGGTAGCTGCCCTCACATACAAAGGGGGAAACTGCCTAGAACCAGCTCATAGAGAACAGCAAATCATATCTGATACAATGCCAAATTCAGAGCTATGTAGTAGAATTCTGTGATCAGCCAGAGTCTTATCAGTGAACCCAGCTCTGAAGGTCAGCAGGTGAAGATGGAGGATTTGCACTGGAGCTATAGTGTGAAGTGCTTCCTCCCATAGTTGGAGAGCTGTGTTCAGGCTGAGTAACCTGAATCTTTTTTATTTATACAGTTGTCTGTACAGTGTGCAGGAATGTGGTCTTGCTCTTGGTGTAGGGTTCCTATTTTGTGCTATTCAGTGCAAAAAATCTTCGGACTTGTGGGTGGAAGATGTCAGAGGAGAAGGGCTAGATCACATTAAAGAGCTACAGGAAATTTCCAGTGTCTGAAAACTAACAGAAGCTATGGTCCTAGCAGGTTACATTTGATTTACTTTGGAATTGTGTAATATACTGTCACTTTGAAACAGTTTCATTTTTCAAGGCTATAAGATGATACAATTAAAATATAGAAAAAAATCCAGACTGACAGCCCTGTCAGGCTTTCTTATATTACCTGCAAGGTCTTTTCTCTTTGTTTTCAACGTCTGTTGCCCTTCTTCTATATTCCTGCACTACGGGAGTAGCTTTAATGGAGCTCATAAAAACAGGAAAGCAGTTTGATAAATATATGCTTTAGACAGTCTTGCATGTGGGCACAAAAAGATTTAACCTCGTTTCAGTCATGGTACTGATTTGTAGCTAAAATGAGTCAGAGTGGCATACAGCCCTTGTCCCATGAATACAGTTAGTCATACAAAGACCACCATTCAAAGACACAGTACATCTCTTGTTATTGTGACTTTTCAGCAATTGTGCTGTTTTTCATTGAGTACGTAAGTAGGAAAATGTAAAAATACTCTTTCAGATGTGGGGAGTGTGCCTGGCAAGATCCCATGAGAGATATTTGTGTTCCTAAATGTGAATCTCAGCCCTCGCAACCAAAAAAGGGATACCTCTTTTCCACATATTTCAGATTTTAAATGTGTATTCTTCAATCAGCTCCAGAGTAGAGGACAAAATCATTTAGTGTTTAGCTGAATGTCATTCTTTATTTTTGTTGTCTCAGACTTGGCCTTCCTCTCTTCATCGAATACTTCTCCCAGGTATTACTATGGACACAGACCACTCTCTTGACTCACCAAGTCTTCAGTGTTAAGTTTTTTCTCCCCAAACCCCCACCTGTACTGTAATCTCTGCAGGCTAATATTCTCAGGTCTCGGGCTGCTCCCTCTTATGTGTCAGTGTACATCAGCATTCCTCAGTGTGCAATACCATGCAGTACTCTCCCACTAAATACATGTAACTACACACCAGGTTCTACTCCTTCCTTTTTTTGCAGGTAGATTGGAGAAGTCTTGTGTGCTGATCAACTAGGAAGGAAAGGAACAGAGACAGGGAGGAGCCTGTGCAGGGAGCTCTGCTTCAGTGGAGCTTGATTTTCTTTTAACACAAGGTCTTGTATTCTCTGTGGCTCGTTTGCTTGTTGCCTTTAATCTGTGTGTCAGCATTATACGCTCCACTGCACCGCTAAATAGTAGTCCTTTCAGGTAGTCTGTAGTAAACTTCTTGCAATCTGTAATGATGTGAGGTCTGGATCGGAGCCTGTGCTGATGATATAAGTCCAAAGAGTTAGTAGCCTGATATGAGAAGCAGTCATAACCTGGCAAACACATTTCGGTGAGACTTAGTTTGAAACCCCTAGCATCACTAGATATGGCTTATCACGAGTTTTAATTATAGAACACTAGGCTTTTGTCTCTCTCGTTCCCTGCCATATGAAATTATCAGATTTTTCCGAAGTAATGAGTCTGACAAGTTGAGGTGTTATATCAAAGACGAAAGATCAGGATTTCTGTTGTAGATGTATTTAGGAAGAGGCAAAACTGTAGGGTGTCTTTTATCGTTGTTTTTTTTTTTATGATTCTTTGTGTGTGTTTCTAGTCAGAATTAAAAATATTCCCAAAGATGCTGGTTTGTGATACAAACAGACCCAGATTATGCAGATAAGAGAACCTATCAATTACTCTACATTTGCAGCTTAATTTTATTGGGAAGTCAGCTGTCCATTTGCTTCACGCTGGCACCAAACTATTAAGATCTTCCTTCAGGTCTGTTTCCCTTCCCGTTACAGAAACAATCTAATCATGCTAGTTTAATGCTTACTTTTTAAAAAAATTATTTCCATGCATAGTTCTTCATAATTAGTTGATACAGGAAACCCACTTGGAAAGGACACTGTTTATAAAACAACATGCCAGAATGTTTATCTGGCCTTGGGCTGCAGGAACCAGAGGATGGATGAATATCCTGCAGTTGTTTTGGCCATGATTATATCGTGGATGGCAGGCTGCCAGTAGCAACTGCAGTAAAAGGTCCAGAGTGTCAGTGTCTTCCTCTGTGTGATAAAATAGAGGCCATTTACACTTTCCAAACTGTCTCAGGAAGGATTTGTGGCTGATTTTGGAGGACTTGAAGTGACGAAAGATGGTAGTAGATAAGCTGCTTGCAGGTTATATGCCAACCTGTCTTTCTGTTGGCTCCTTCAGGCCTGGCACCACTGATGTTTTTTTTGCCCTTCTTTCTAGAACATTTAAAAGAGAAGCTGGAGGAATACATGGTCCGTTTTGGCAAAGTGAGGATTGTACGTACCAAGAAACGAGAAGGGCTCATTCGGACCAGACTGCTAGGAGCCTCGCTGGCTAGAGGAGAAGTCTTGACATTTCTGGATTCCCATTGCGAAGTCAACGTGAATTGGCTGCCTCCCTTGCTTAGTAAGTGTACGAGCATTCATCAGCCGTTAAAATTAGAGCATACAGCATAGCTTAAGCATTCAAAGCCATGTCCCACAATAAGCGGGATTTACACTGTACAGAAGTGTTTGGAGCTCTGCTGCAGTTTCTGAAGAGTCAGTATGAGACAGAACTCTGAGAAATGCGACCAGCTCTATTTTATGGTTCTTGTGAATAAAGAGCTGGTAAAATTTTGAAGTATCATTTTGGCCTATTACAGTTACAATTTATTTTGTCATTACTGCTACAAAATACACTACTAAATCTAGTAGTATGGTATGCCCTTACTATACACCTGTAAACTTTTGCTATGCAGGTATTGTACTCCTTCCTAGTCCTCCACATTCCATTAAAACAGCTTTTGCTGTAAATGTATCTAGGACCTCGGAGTTAAATCCAATAACAACTGCATTCACAATAGGAAGCTCAGAAAGAATGATTTGCTATTGACTGCTTTGCTGGATTCCAGCTGCAGCCAGCAAAGCTCCATTAGTCAAAGGAATGGAAAGAATCAATTGCTGTAGTCTAGGATTTCACTTCAGGAAACAATGTCCTATTTTCTACACACTTGAGTGCATGCAAAGAGTATGTGCTTTGCAAAATGGGTGCTTTTTGGCTAGCAAAAACAAAATTTCTGAGTTTACTATGGAAGATACTTGTATTAATTAGAAGAGTATATCAAAAGTACAGGACAGGATAGGTTTTCACCAATTAATGGTTATTGTTTCTTGAATTTTGTTGTTAGAACTGTTTGGCCACATAATAAGGTGATAAAGTGTTTGCAGTCAAGAAGAAATGACGTTCTGCTAATGAACTGTCACTTGAGACAAAAAAAAAAAAAAAAAAAGAAAACCAACCAAAAAAAACCCAAAACAACCAATCAAAACCAACTGTAGTAACTAGTTTTTCTTCTTCAGATCAGTAGCAAAATAATGTACAAAATTCCAAATTTATTTCCTTTCTAGCTTCTTTATCAAATTACACATATGGTCTTACCTCTTGTTTCATATTTCCTTAAGCACAGCATCAGCATTCTTTTAGAAAACCTCCATCATTGTGTAGAGCCTAAATAGCATAAAGGAGCAGAGAGAAGTTTCAACAAGCCTTCCACAGACATCTATAGACAAGTAGATGTTAAACACTCTGGAGTACTCTACATATACAGCCACTTTTCCTCTGCTTTCTGATTTTGCCACACTGTGCATAATACATTGCTACTAATGAAAAAATCTCCGGAAGTCTCTCAGTCTTGTCCGCTGAAATCTTTTGCTATATTACTGCACATGAGATGTAGACATTCGGTTTTGCTAACTTAGACATGGGAAAATTGCAAGTTGCAAAGCCAGTTCCTTTTCTTGATATCTTGTCTGAAATGAAGGTACATCTAGCTGGGTTTCACACTAAAAAAACCTGAAAAATAAATAGAATGGTCACAAAGGATTCATAATTGCAGTTAGGTTGCAGTTGGGTATTGAACTGATGATTGCAACCCTTGGCCTCAAGCCAGAGAACTGGACAAATGAGAGGCTTCATCAGGGACCAGGTCCCAGTTCTGCTTAGTTCTCATGTTCTGCATATCATTCTCATTTCACATATAGTAGAAATACCCATAGCTAACCAGCCAGGGGATCTAGAAATTAATCTTTAGGAATACTGGAACCCAGAGTCAACAGGCATAATTTTTAAAGAAAATGTGGAGTATTACATGAAGAAGGACAACTAGAAAATGAACACACAGCTTTTAAGAATGGCCTGTGCCTTTTTTTTCCTAAAGGGATGAGAAAATTTTCTCATATCCAATAGGTGGCAAATATTTACTATACTGAAATCAGAGGACAATCAGTTACTAATAATAGTAAAGTTAATGAATTTTTGCAAGTGTTTATCTAAAGATCTACCTTGTGATTCATTCAGAAATGCATGTGACTGAATGTCATTCAAGGAAACCACAACAGAGGATATATTGTGTATTTATTGCTTTGATGCTGCCCTGTTTTAGCTCTGATTTATCTGTCGTGTAATGAGAAGTCCTCAACAGGACTGCAGTTCAACCCTGCCCTGGAGTTGCCTCTGAAGAGGTGCAGTGGTTTCCACTGTTCCAAGCCAGCTTTTGTTCAAAATGAGACCTTGAAAGTTAGAGGACTAGGAGGTACTGAGAAAACCAAGAGCAATCACATAAAAACAGTTCTCAAAGTTATTTAGTCACCTAACTTATCTTTTCAGAATTGACTGTCAGGAAGACAGTTTTTTTTAGTACTTGTTAGGTATCTAAGTAGGTTTGTGGTGCTGAGCCACAGCTGGTTTCAGTTACAGTCCTTTGTTTTGTTTTCTTAAAATCAGCTGCAACATGGTTTATCTTTATTTTCTTTAAGCTTTATTTAGTTTATTTCTTTAGCTTAAATGGGCTTCTAAACTGAGAAAAACAACTTTCAGATCTCAGAGAGTTTAGCCTGAGATTCACTGAGCAGGTAACTGATCATGTAAAAATGTTGGCAAACACAGCTGTTTGTTATCACTCCTCAATAGTATATAGTCAGCAGAAGGAAAGATGTGATTTGGGCTCCAGCTGCTGTAGTTTGAATGTAGTGTAGCGCGAAATCACTGTTACTGCAGGTAAGAAACTTGAGCAGCAAACCAGCTGAAAGATGAAGGCATATCTTTCCTTCTACTGATGTTGTTGTAGGAGCAGTAAGAGGGGAGCTGGACAATAGATTAGTAATGCCACACACTACCAGAACTAGTTTTGTTAAAACAGATTTTTTTTTTCTGACCAAGACTTAAAACTATATCATTATTAGGTCATGCTTAGGAAGTTATCAAGATACCTGCTAACTATAGCTGACCATCTCCACAACATTATATAATGCATCACTTGCCAGTGGGGATACTAACAGTACAAGTACTTATGACAACTCAGATAACAAATGATAATTTGCTGAGTCATTCAAATGTTGTCACCATCTGTAACAACATATTCAGTTAGGAAAATAAGAGTGTTTGCAATGTGGCATTGTTGCTTTAACCAGGCCAATTTGAAACCAGCACTTGAAATTAAAGGAATGCATCTTTCTTGTAAAGATAAAACCTAGGTTTTTGAGATACTGACTTATCCAGTATTGAAAACTTCCGTTTATTGCCACATATGTACACTCTGCTTGATGCTACAAGTGCTGAATTCAAATATATATGTATATAATGCTTAAAAGTGCAAGGGAGGAAGCTCTGTGCAATGATGTTCCCTCTTGTTCCTAGGCTTTCCCTCAAATCTGCAAGATTTTTACATGTATGGTGATGCTTATCTTTCTGTTCTTCCCTTTAACTGCAGCATATACGCATTGAAATAATAGAAACAGAAATTTTCAGAATATAGGAATTCAGGACATACGAATGTGTGACGGGATTATGAGTAAATGCAGTGGAAAAGAAATACTATAAAGTGTTTCAGCTGTGGCTTTCAGTTTCTTGCAGAGGAGCAGGTGGGATGAAGAGAAGTGGCTGGCAAAGGCAGCAGCATTTTCACATCTGTTAAGCTATGGTACCAGCACTCTTGTGAAATGTAAGGTAGCCCTACAGCACTTTTTTCTGTTTCCTAAATTCATATTGGGTTTACATTTAAGCCTAAGAAGTATGTATGCAAAATAAATTAATTTAGGCATACTGAAAGAAACATTAAGGCTGTAAATCTGATTTGCTGCCTTTGTTGTGCACAACTACAAACACTTTGGTTTCTTCAAAAGTCAAGATATGTCTGTGGTTCCTCATCTTCTCTAAAACATTTTGTGGGCTGAGAAGTAGGTTCTGTGGAAGCCTACAAGAACAGGCAGGTAAGCATCATCTTACAAAATTGTTGCAGAGTTGTGTTAATGAGGACTGGGATTGAGTTTGGTCATTCGTCAAATAATTTTCTCCCTGGCTATTTTTGTGTGTGACTTAGAGAGTTCCAATCTTTCAGTCTATTTAAGACTACAGCTTTTAAATATCAAGAGAATGATGCTAATGTATTATGAGTCTACCTTTGACCTGCTCCACCCAAATCAATCCCATTTAGTTTCACTCTTCCAATCAATTTAGAAAGAAGGGATCAGAGACAGGTTATTATAACTATTAACAGGACCATCACAGGAAAGAGGTTATGTAAAAATGACTTTACATAATGATTACAGATAGCACTACATATTATACCAGTGAATGAAATTATATTTGGCAATAGCAACAGTAATGCAGCCATTATGTCTGAGATGAGTTTCCTATAATTTTGTGAGAGCCTGTGCTTTAAATTTATTTCACTATTAAAGGATAAGAATGTAAAAACCTGATGAATTTCCAAGCACGATAATTTCTCACTAGCAGTCAGTGTTCTTCCCCCATCTGGACAGTCTATAAACAGCAACTGAGAATAAATATGAAAACTACAGACGTTTCACTGAAATAATCTTTTTTCTTAATTTTAATCCTTCAGAAGCAGAGAAGAATCCTTACACGACGATTACCTGCCTTCCTATCTAAGTGTTTGTTCCACACTCAGCCCTCTGATTTTTTTTTTTTTTTTTTTTTAGGGTATTATCAAGCACCAGTGAAATCTAATCCTTAAAAACAAAAACCAAGTTTTCCCCATACTCCCTACAATGTAAGAAACTAGGCTATCATTCAGAGAAAAAGCTTTGTTATACTTGGAAGTTGAAGATTTTCTTTCCTCAAGAGTTCACAGATAGGTTTTCTACAGTACAGATTTTCCCTGTACTTCCTAATTTCAAACCATTATTCTTCTGCTTATTCTTGCAGTTGGAATGTCTTCTTTACTTTTGTTTCTTTTCTGAGGAGCTGTATGGGATTAAGCAGCAGGAATTACCAAAGCAGACTCAGGCTCACCCTGCCCTTATACTAGACGTGGGAATTTGATTTAGCTTCACACTTCTCTTTTTTTTTTCCAAAAACGCAAAAAGAAATTCATTTCTTTGGAAAATAAATGAGTAAGAACAACACTGTGGGGCCTTCTTTATATCTCAAAGACTGGTACAAAACAAATATGACTCAAGCCCTGTTTTGTTCGTGTTGGAGTTTGCCTCTAATTTGTAGCTTTTGATCTCAAAGTTGATGCACACTAGCACCAGAGGAACAGCAGCTGAATGGTTGCAAGGGCTGAGATTCACATTTAGGAACACAAATCTCTCTCATGGGAGCTTGCCATGCAACTCCCCACATCTGAAGGAGTATTTTTACTTTTTGCTTGCTTGCTTGTTCCATAGCTGACAGACTGGGGACAGCTCAGAGTAGCAAAGTGACAGAGATATAGATGACTGGACTCCTGTGGGTCTCACAGGGATATGCCTCCCTTTAAAGAACTGTAAATGCTTCTAATCATTGCCCAACTGCATTAAGTCCACTTTAGATAAAGGTTTGATACAGATTTGAAAAATGAAATTATTTGGGGGCCACAGGGAACAAAGCAAGCAATCTTCAAACATCAGAAAAACCTGTGGGATTCACTTTGCAGTAATATGATAGATGGCTTGACTAGACATGCCGTTTCCTATTTTCTACTTTCATTTTTCAGACCAGATTGCACTAAACCACAAAACCATCGTGTGTCCTATGATCGATGTCATTGACCACAATCACTTTGGCTACGAGGCACAGGCGGGGGATGCCATGCGAGGAGCTTTTGACTGGGAAATGTACTACAAAAGAATACCGATTCCTCCAGAGCTCCAGAGAGCTGATCCCAGCGACCCCTTTGAGTAAGTAGTGATAAAGGGGAGAGTGGGAACATGAAGCAGAACAAGCAAAGAAGGCAACAGTAGCAGAAGAATCCAAGCCCAGAAGTTTCCATGTAGGGTCCACTTCATACTAATGGAAGGTCATAGAAGCAAGCAACTTCTGTACATATTTATAAAACCCCAAAACTAGGAAAAAGATCAGGGTAACGAGTTGCAGGATTCACAAGCTGTGCCTGGAAATACAAACCTTCCACATCTTTTCTGGCCCAGTGGTCATACGTTAAACAAAGAGGCACATACTGGTAGTTAAGAGAAATTATTGCCATTGGACAAGGAGTGAATGTGACTGCAGTTACTCTGTTTATTCCACAGAGCACTGAACAGACTTTAGTTTAATGTTTTATTTGCTGAAGATTGATGCAATGCATGCCAGCAGATGCTTTGTTTATGACTGGTGATATTGCTACCGTATATGTATTGCTGTAACTTGAACACAGAGCTGTCAAACCTGAACAGTGTCAAGCTGATTTGTAAATAAATTGTTATAAGCCAGCCAGTATTGTATACGTAAGCTCTTTCACACGAATGATCATCTACTTTTCACAAAAGTAGATCTTTTCTTTTTTCTCATGTAAGGATCAGCTAGGATTAATCCTCATCAGCAGAGAGGACAGACAGACATGATTCAATGTGGCAGTCTCCAGAGGTCTCACAGAGCTTGGATCCTTGCAGGACTGGCAGCAGGACTGGCTCTGATGCTGTCATTAGCCCTGGCTGAAACTTGCTGCAGGTTTTGGCAGTTTAAAACTCAGCATTTTCCCCTCCCCAAAACAAAACCTGGAAACAATAGCAACAGAAAACTTCTGTCTCTGTCCAAGACTCTGATCTGTTTGAAGTAATGGATCTAATTCATGCAGAAATTGACCCTTATGTCCAGGGAATGACTAGATGGGTATAGGGAGAAATAGGTAATTGTGGCGTTCAGTGGGCTTATTTTCATTATTCTGCTTGTTCCTTTTTACTTATCTCCATTATTCTGCTTGTTCCTTTTTACTTATCTCCATCTAGGCTCATCAGTCTTCATCTTGCATTACTGTAAGTCCTGATGAAATACTTTCCATCAGCTGCCAATGTGACCACTCTACGACATAGATGCAGTTAGTGCAATCACATAGCACTCCAGAGCTTCTAGAGCCTCCCTTTCTCTTCCACAAGTCTTCCTGGTCTTCTGAGCAGCTGTAATTTCTTTCTACTTACTGAAAACCACCTAGCACATCATGTAATTTGCTTCAGCATTCAAAGTTTGTATATAAATAAAACTGCTATATTGCCAGGGTTACTTATCTGCTATTTCACCCATTTACAGTTTGTTGTATGCATCTTTCAAAGACAAGAAAGGACGGAAGAGGATGCATTTGTAGGACACTTCCTAGAACAGACGCAGTTTTGTGCAGTACAGAACAGATGTGGTGGTTTTGCATGAACTGTTGTTACGATCAGCCTGGCAGCAGGTGATACTCATCTCACCATGCCTGCATTCGTAAGACACAGAAATGGCTTCATAAGGAGTAACATAAAGGACAATGTGACCCGTAATCTCTTGTAATCTGAGTTCTTGTTTCCCCAGAGAGGTGAAAAAGCTTCCTAGTTCTTACACAAATCAGTCAGAGTCTTCCTTTGTTTTCCACATGACAGTATCTGCATCAGAGTAATGCAGGCAGAAAAGCAGTGTTGCACATTAATCACTATGTCCAACCCCACACATGGCAGCATGATAGAAGGCTGGTGGAGCTAGGACAATAACTTTGCTCAAAAGTACTCTCTGCCTATAATGGTGAGGGTTTAGATGTGTTTTAAATAATCAGTATGAATTTTGCTTAGGGGAGGAGTTATTTTCTGATTCAGAGTCACTACTGCTTTTCTCCTAGGGCCTTCTCTGTTGACACCTTGAGCTTTTAATACCTTGCTTACAAGAAGTGTGGTAAAAATTACAAACTGTTTTAGATATCAGCAATTTAATTGACCAAGACAAGTTCTATAGAATTTAAGAGACAGAACAATTTTCCTGTGCATATGCACTAAAACTAGAAATGGCTTCAGCCAGCCCCACAGTCATTATGTTATTTTTTTTGTAAGCAGTACGATTGTTTTTTTTTTTATTTAGGTTAAATGTTTTACTATTGGTATCCTAATAGCTTTATTTCTTGCCAGCAGCATCAGATTTGATCTGATCCGTAATGAACTGGAAAACTGCCAGCATTTTTAGTAAAACACCAGCAAATAGGTATGTGATCCAAAAATTGTGCTGAAATGCCAACTCAGTACACGTGTTCAGCAGAAAAGATCACATTAGCCTAAGAACTGATGCACATAAAACCAGATCAGACAATGTAAGACCTAAGACTAGTCATTATATTGTCTGAATTATATTATCTGAATGATATATAGCTTTCTGTCTGCACTCATGAGATCCCACTTGGAGTACTGGGTACAGTTCTGGTGTCCCCAACAGAAGGAGGACATGGGATTGTTGGAGCAAATCCAGAGGAGGGCCATGAGGATGATAAGGGGGCTGGAGCACCTTCCGTATGAAGACAGGCTCGGAGAAGGCTGCGTGGAGGCTTCATAGCAGCCTTCCAGTATCTGAAGGGGGCCTACAAGGGTGCTGGAGAGGGACTCTTCATTAGGGGAAGTTCTGGTTAGATATAAGAAAGAGGTTCTTTACTGTTAGGGTGGTGAGGCACTGGAAGAGGTTGCCCAAAGAAGTTGTGAATGCCCATCATTGGCATAGTTCAAGGCCAGGTTGGACAGAGCCATGAGCAACCTGGTCTAGTGTGAGAAGTTCTTGCCCATGGCAGGGCGGTTGTAACTAGATGGTCCTTTCCAACCCTAACCATTCTATGATAAATACTGCTGCAGCAAACATCAGCTGTTTGCTGTTGACACAATAAACTGAAGTGTTGTCAGATAGGCTTTTGGTGTGACAGTATCATGGAGCTCACTGAGCTCCAGTGCCAGCTGTGGCAGTGTTTCTATAATTAATTTTTCCCTGCTTTTATTGTTTTGTTGTTTTTTTTTAATGCACTCCACTTTGGTTAGTGTTTGAAAGGTACTCTCCTACTGAATGCTATCTACCCGGACACAGTCTTCCAGTTCAAAATGCCTCATATGAAGAATCTAGACATTCTCATCCATTTTTGGTGTGAGCCTGGGCATGGTTTATTGTTCATACACTTACAGTGCCACTCAGGCACCATCTCCACCCTTTGCTGTGATAGATCTTGAAGTTTCATTTCAGATCTCAGCTTTTCCTGATGTACACCCACATTCATCCTCAGGCAATCTACAGCTGTTCACGACAAGTAGCTTTACACCATGATTTGGCTTGATGTTTATGACTTTAGGACTGTACTGCTTCCAGCCTACCCAGTGTCAAATCCTGGTACAGATGCAACAGCCTGGGAGGTGGGTGACCAATTTATAATGGCATTAGGATTAGGCTGCATTCATCTCCAAAATGTATCAGTTTGGTTCACATGTAGTATGTTACTGGCCACTCCACGTTTTCCATAGGTTTTGCTTGAACCAAACTATAAAATGTGGTTTTAATTGAAGCTCCTATGTGAATTACTGGCTATTTCTCTGTGCTCATTGTAATGTATAAGAAAGTTTAGTACCTACAGCGTAAATGGATATAGAGTAGCCTTTAAGATTATCTGTTTTTCTCAAAGATCTGTGTTGCTGTTTTTCCAGGATGCATTGAATCCTTAGAAGCATGGAAGTTGGACTTCACCACCTATAAAATGTTGAACTGTGAACTCTTGTGAATATCTGTGAACTCCTTGTCAATTTCCCTTTTTCATGTGCCACAGAAACAGCAGAAGTTTTATACTGCATTCAACTGACATGCCACTTTTGCAGCTCCTGACAATTGGCTGTAGTGATTTTTCTCTTGTGATTCATGTACGACTACCCCAATATATTCTGAAGGGGCTTCATGCTATTTTCCTCTGAGATGCATTCAGGGTTGTATAAAAGACAGAGCAAATTGGTGTTTTGATGTATTTTGGGAAATTGTCAGGCAATTATCCCATGTCATGATGATGCTTACGGTCTAGATCCAGGGTCAATGATTATTCAGCAGAATTTGTGGTGACTTGGGACATTATTTTCTAATCTATAAATCGGGAGGACCAGAGATGTTTACCTCCTTTGTGGCAAGGATGACCTTAGCTTATTGTCTCTCACTGGTTTGTTTCTTTGTCATGACAGAGATTTGAAAGCATGCCCTTATGGGACGTGTAGATTTAGGATATAAGAGTGTGCTCTTGTGTGGCTGTTTCTTTCTGTGGCGCAACCACTTTAGTCTCTGGAGGAATTTGCCTAACCCAAGTGATTGCCACTTAAACTAATAGGGTAACCTTGTTACTATAATGGACTGTGATATACAGCATGTCAGTTTGTATGATTTAATAGCCTGTCTGGGCTTAAAGCTCTGTGGAAGTTTAAAACAGAGGTTTGATATGCTCAGGCCTGCTGGGGATGACTGCCCTTTACTTCCTGGCAGCACTTAGATTACATCAATTCATGTTACCACATGCCTGATCTGAAAATGGTCATCGGTGTCCATCCATGCCAGGAGCAGCGTATCTAACCAGGCAAGAAAACATTAAAACATTAACAATTCAACTCAAAAAACTACTTGTAAAAAAAAAAAAAAAAAAACCAAGAAGAAACCCCACACAAAATAATGGAGAGGATTAACGTAGCACCAATCAACTAGGGTAGGAAAGGGCTGCACAGCTCCTTGGAGCAGTTTTATGGTGGTGTAGCTTTATGATTCAGGAGAGAGGGAAAGGTGCACCCGAGATCTAACAGCATTGCTATTGAGTTGCAACTCAAGATGGAAAGCGTAACTGGTGAGAGAAGTGTTGTGCTGTTTACTGGATGCCAAGACTTCTAGCACCTATTTGGGAAAGTTAGTCTTTTTGGTTTACGACCACTCCTCTACCCTCCAAGTG